AGCTCTACATAATAGCATGGTATTTATTTTGCACAATCGCATGTGGGAAAAGTAAAGTGTAGGTTGTCAGCTTGTACTCGGTTATCAGCTTGTATTTTACTATTCGCACTTCAGTTCAGCCCAGGTTCAGTCCTCTCTCAAAATTGGTATTTTCATAGATTAACCTATTATTCTTAGGACCAGCTAATAGATTGCCCAAGCGGTGGCAGTGTTAAATGTAGGCATGTGCCTGTTTTCCAGTGTAAGGAAGTAGGTCATATTTTAAGGGAACTGCAGGTTGTCCTGTAGTGACAGTTTAAAATGAAACATATGCAAAACAACATACTTTTTATTTTATGAGAGGTATAGCTGTTAGTTTACATGTTTGGGAGATCTCATTGGTCAATGTTAATGGCAAATAACATGTTAAAGCTAAATTGAAGCCAGATACAAAATGCCATGTATTGCGACTTTGGACATGCCTTTTTTTTTTTTTTTTTTTTTTTTTTTTATTATTATTATTATTATTTTATTTTAATGTTAGTAGTACCCATTGTGATGATAATGAGGTCTTTTGAATTCCAAACTGAGTGGGGAAAAAAGGTAGTTGCCCTGAACAAACTGCCACCCTCATTTCTCAAAAATGTGTAAGTCAATGACAAAACAAAAATATTTAAATCTGTTATAGAGAAGCGACATCCTTAAAAAGCCACAAATCAGATTGTAACACCCCTCCCCTAAAATTGTAACCTCAAAACAAAACAGAGCCATCATAAATCTCATTAAACATTCCTGTTAAAGCATCCTTGACAAAACACAAACCCACAAAGAGGTATGCAGCTGTTTCATTAAACCCCACTAGTGGGATGTCCCTTAAGCCAGAGCCTGCGAATAGCTGTCGTACCAAGAAGACAAAACAGAGGGCGCACTGGCCTAGTGCGTTATCCTTAGAACCTGTTTTATTTTTCAAAAATGGTAAGTATTATACTCACAAATTGACAATTGCGTCAAAAACTCATCGTAAAAACAGCATCCAGTCAAAGATACGTCATGGCAAATGACAGGACAAAAGGACCTCCAACAGGCTAATGTGTTTCAAGGACTTGCCTCTTCTTCAGAGGGATCTCAGGAAGAGGCAGTTTCTCAAAACACATTGGCTGTTGGAGGTCCCTTTGTCCTGTTATTTGCCATGACGTATCTTTGACTGGATGCCGTTGTTGTTATGATGAGCTTTTGGTGCACTTGCCACTTTGTGAGTAAAATGTTTACCGTTTTTGAAAAATAAGACATGTTAGAAGGATAATGCACTAGGCCAGTGCGCCCTCTTTTATCTTGTGGTTTCATTGGTTCCAGACTTCCCCAGTCTTGTGAAGGCAGCAAGGCAAGTGCTATCTGAGACAGCCAGGATGAGAAAGTAGTTTAACATTACCTTTGGGCCCAAACTCAAGCACAGGAGGTTTTGTGTTTATCTACTTGAATAGCTGTCGTACATCTGGCTTTACTTGACATGAAACTGCCCTTTCATCTCCAGGTGGGGTAGGGGATGGGGTTTAACTTTCACTGCTACTGGCCACCAATGCAGGGGGTTATTATTGCACCCGCTAACACCAATGCAAGGGGGTTATTGCACTCACTGACACCAATGTTGAGGGTTGTTATTGCAGTCACTGACATCAATTCTGCGGGTTATTGCACTCATTGACACCAATGCTGAGGGTTATTATTACTGCCACTGACCTTAAAAGGTTAACTGCAGAGTTAGCCAGTAGCTGCGATGTTCACTCTGATGCTTAGATTGTTGCCCTGCCAGCTGAAAAAAAAACTGTGCAGGGTGAGGCTTGAGAGTTCAGTAAACCAAATTCTGGTGGCAGTGATGGGATCTGAGACTGCTGCTGTGACACTGTGTACATGCTATGGAAATAATGGGGGGGGGGCATGCTGTGTGTTATAATTGTAGAAATTCCCCTACTGCCTTGCATGGGCCATTAATAAGGGGTTTGTAAATGGTTTCAAATACTATGCCTTGGAATGCATAGATACTGTACATTTCACAAAATAACAGCCTGAGAAATAGAAATCTAACTTTAGGTTGGGTCGGCTGGTGCCCTAATGTACCCTGAAGTGCGCATGTGCGATTCTGTGTACGTTACTGCTGACAAACATGGAGAAGCAGTTATGACAGAAGAAACCATCACATTTTAATACTGATTTAAAGGCCAGTGAAATGTTTTAGACCTTGTTACATTTTACCCCCTTCCCCTTCTTTCTTTAGCATATTGAAAGGTGTTTTCAATATTACTGTTTGAATTCAGCACGGTTGAATCTTCCAGGTCTGGGATCGCTCCCAGTCAGCTCCTACATGTCCTATTTGCTACCGAAGGTGTGACGTCACAATTTGTAGTTCAGAAATATTTCCTTCATCTCCATAACTGAAGGTCGATACCTCTGTACTGATTGCGCCACAACATACTAAATGTTGGCTAGGCCTAAATTATATTCTGTTTCACTATAATTACATTGTTCCCTTTTGCATGGGAACAATGCTAAAAAATTGATTGGGAGCCTGTTGGCTGAAGTGGACTACTTAGATTCTATTCCAATGCTAACTCCTAAGCCAAATTTTGCTATAATGAAATCAGATTTTACGGGGGGCTTTCACTATATTTAGCAGTCTTTGTTTCCATCTTCAATAACTTACTTGCTACAATAATAAAATGTAATTAAAGGCAACACTTTTGTTTTAGTTTTGGACAGAGAGGAGAAGGATTAGAACACCTATTAAGTTTTTATTGCTGTTTGGGCCCCCGTTATGGATATTCACCTTCGCTATTTGTCCTGTTTACCGTTATGATCGAAAGTAAAAGAAAATCCCACTTTTTTGGTTGTCCCCAGAAAAGTAATAGAGGGGAAATCTTCCAATGAGGATATTAGTTCTGGTGACCTAGGGGACCCAATGGATTTCCTTAATTTGCAGGGACTTCCTTTCACCTGTTGGCCATGGGACAGGGAATGAAGGTAAATCTACCTAATGGGACACAGGTGGCAAAAAAAAAAAAAAACCAGAGGGATTATAACCCTCCTTTACTCTATCCAAAATGAAAAAAAAATGTGCCTATAGTTCTACTTTAATAAAACATAATAATGGAAGGGTCACCAATTCCCTTTTCTTTCATTTATGCTGTACAGTTATTGGTAGAGAAGGATTTCCTTTATTGGTTTACATTTGAGATAGACAAGTTCTAAAAATTGAGTCAGTTTAGAAAGTGACTTTTCTCTTTACACATTTTAGAAAGGGTATCTAAAATATGTGCAAAAAACTCATGCTCATCTGAATTTTCTGTAGGTTTAACTTGCACAGCTGTCAAATGCATAACGTGGACTTTTTCTAATGGAGGGTTATATAGAAAAAGATCTTAAAAAATGTGCGTTTTAGAAAGGCTCTGTCATTGGGATTTCTAATTTACTGTGAAGTTATGAAATGAATTATGTATGGATAAGGCAGCATGCAAATCACAAGTGATCTTGCATAACATCAGGCTGTGTTTCTTTTTCTGACTGTCGTTTGCACCAAATCATTTCACGCTCGAAAGTAATTTTTTTTTAATACAGCATGGGTAGATTTGGAGGATTCAGTATTGCTCGAAGGTGTTTTTTGTATAATAGTTACATCCACATTTTGTTTGAAACACATTTAGGACTTTTGCACGCAATATGTACTCATTGTCACATCAAAAAACTCCTTTTTCTGAATGCAAGCCAAGGGGAAGCAAATGCAGCTTGAAACATATTGGTCACAAGTGCTTTCCAAAGGATCCTGGACAGTTCTTAAAGTGGTAGTAAACTCTTATATATACTCAGTGAAGTGACTGACCTCAGGTGATAGAGATTAAACAAATCCTCCTACATAAGTTGTACTTGTTCATATGCAGCCATCTCTCCTCTACGTTTGTTCAAAGTGCTGAGTTTATAAACCTTTTCAGAGTTCAGAAAAAAGGAGGTGGAGAGCTGAAATTACACACTGCAGAGCTCAGTGAGGGGAGCTCTGAAAGCTGATTGGGGGGGGGGGGGGAAAGACGCATCCTCTTCGCACAGGAATAGAGTCGAGGCTGTCAAGCTTGGTGGAAGTACGTCCCCTTGTCACCATTTTTCTGTTGGTATCAGGAAAACTTGTCAGATGTGATTCATGCAGATAGCAGAGGAAATAAGCAGCAGAAATAAATAACACTTGGTGCTCCTAAATGACACAAGTGCACACTATAGAGGTATATGCTTTGTTCATATTTCATGTCTGAGGTTGCGCAAAATGGATGGTTATTTTTTATTTATTTATTTTTTTTTTCAGCCTGTTAATGAATTCCTCTATCCACACAAACAAGGTGGATAGAGGATTTGCCTGCCTCGGGCCAATAGTGGCTCCTGCTGCTGTCAGAATACAATTTATTACAAGCTGTGGCCCCAAATGAGAAAGTTTTCCAACATTCTCCTTCAACAGAAGTCGATCAAACGATTGATCTCTGCCAAGCAGGGACAGGCTCACAATGATATAAATCCATCCAGTCCTTGCTGATCTTGAAAAATTTCAATCAATTTATGGCAAGCTTTAAAAGTATCTCAAACTTTCTTTTTTTTTTTTTTATACACCGTCTGAATGCTCCTAAAAGAGTGCTGCATTTTAGTCTCCTACACAGAGTTTAGGATGTTGTCTGATCCAAGACACTACATTTCCCCCCACAGATTTAAAAACTCCTCTGGTGAACATTCCGCTGGTTTGCAAATTTGTTTTGTACTTGGCTTTTCTAAAATCTCCAGGCCGATCACATGTCTCTTGAGGGTGCAGATTTTCCCTTCGTTTCTGTCTGTTAAAATCATTGAAATTTGGACAAAAGGTGGAAGGATCCCTGGATATCAGTAAAAACAAAACCAGAGTTCTACCCAAATCTAAACCCTAAAAAATGTTCTAGCTTGACAATTATTTTAAGTTTTAAGAGTTTTTTCTTCATCTTCATGTTATCACTTTTATCAGAACATGGGAAACTGTGAAACGTACAACCCGAAGAGAAGGAAATGCTGCAGATGGTGAGCAATTTTCTGTTGAGTTTCATTTGTTAAAAATGAAGGATACAATATTGTTTCATCTAAAGTGTGTTAATTATTAAAGTATTTGTTGTTCAACAGTGTGTAGCAATAATACCAGTACTACAGAGAACTCTTCATTATGAATGTATGGTGCTCATAAAACAGTTTCGACCTCCTTTAGGCTGCTATTGCCTGGAATTCCCTGCAGGTCAGTGCTGCTTTCCCAGCCTAATTGTCAGTTGGTCTGTCTTTAGAGCCATTCACACTATTCCAGTGTGGTGACATATGTGTTACCACAAGCAGTAGCATTCATTCTGAATGACACTACATTATTATTATTCAGTATTTATATAGCGCCAAAGTGTTTGCTCAGCACTACATTGCACCTTCTCAACGCACTACGAATGAGCATTGTCATGAGCTGAAATGCTGCATGCACTATTTTTTTTTTTTTTTGTGCACATTCTTGGCAACCACGTAAATGGGTCTTTAACCCCTTCCTACCCAACATGGTGTTCCTCTTGGCAGTTTTGAATGTTTCAGGGGCAGGAAGGATGAGCAATCATGTGATGTCACAGTGTACCATAACAGATCAGTGCCTATCCAAGCCCACAGTATTATTTTTGTGGGTTTTCACTTACACACAGGTACTGGCAGAGACAGAGCACATCTTGCTCCTATAGCATACAATTAATGCCACACACTATATTTAACTCCAGTGTGAAGTGAATGAAAGATAGGCTTCAGCTCACGTACTCCCACATTGGTCTTGCCCTTCTAAAATGTTTCACCCACATTGGGCTTAATCATAGCGCCCAGTGTGGGTGAGCATGACCTATGGGTAGGGACTTGCGCTAAAGCCTGTCTTTCATTCACTTCACACTGGAGTTGAATACACTGTGTAGTGGTACATGTTTGCTGTGCTGTCATGGTGGTCACATGATTGGAAGCTGGTCCCACCTGCTACAGAAGTTTAATCTGGACCAAGAGATGTCTTCAACAGCTCGGCCTTTGTAGTGGAGCATTTAGTTAAGTGCGCTTTCAGCTCATAAACAGCCTACACAGCAACATTGGCATGTGGACATTAAAGCCCACTCTTTTACCACTGTACATATGTGTTGAGCATTCGAAAATAGGGGTTAAAGTGAAGTAGAGTAAGTGTTTACATATTCTAGTAGTAAAAGCACTATAAAACAAGCCCTCATTCACCTCTGAATCTATAAGCATTGTAGAGAAAACAAATGTTCAAATTTTACAACACCGGCATTAACATTTTTTTTTCTATAAAAACAGGGTCCTGGCAGACTGCAAGCCCTTTGACCCATTCTCTGTCACCCACATAAGGTTGACAGTGGGGAAAATAATTATTTGATCCCCTGCAGGTTTTTTAAGTTTGCCCACTTGCAAAGTAATGAAGGGTCTGTCATTTTTATTATAGATGTATTTTAAATGAGAGACATAATATCAATTATCCAGAAAAAAACACGATACAAATGCTATAAATTGAGTTGCAGTTCAGTGAGTAAAAGTATTTGATCCCCAAGCAAAACATAATTGGTGGAGAAACCCTTGTTGGCAAGCACAGAGGTAAGATGTTTCTTGTAGTTGGTTACCAGGTTTGCACACATCTTTGGTCCACTCTTTGTTACAGATCTTCTCTAAATCCTTAAGGTTTCTTGGCTGTCACTTAAATTTCAGCTCCCTCCATACATTTTCTATAAGATTAAAGACTGGAGACTGACTAGGCCACACCGTGACCTTAACATGCTGCTTCTTGAGCCACTCCTTTGTTGCCTTGGTGGTATGTTTTGGATCATTTTCATGCTGGAAAACCCATCCACGACCCATCTTCAGTGTTGTGGCAGAGGGAAGAAGGTTCTCATGCAAGATTTTACAATACATGGCCCCGTCCATTGGCCCCTCAATGTGGCAAAGTCCACCTGTAGTTTTTAGCAGAGAAACGGCCCCAAAGCATAATGTTTCCACCGCCTTGCGGGCACAGCAGGATTTCAATCCAAGGGGCATATTGTGTTACCAATGGTTTGTTTGGGGACCTGTGGTCCCAAGCTCCCTGAGATCATTCACAAGCTCCTCCCCTGTGCTGATCCCTGATTTTACTCATGATCATCCTTGCCCCATGAGGCGAAATCCTGCATGGAGCTCCAGACAGAGGGCAATTGATGTGTTTTTTTGGGGGGTTGGGGGGTTTTTTTTTTTTTTGTGTTTACTTCCATTTGCAAATAGCTCCAACAGTTGTCTCCTTCTCACCAAGCTTCTTGCTGATGGTTTTGTAGCCCCTTCCAGGATTGTGCAGGTCTACAATCTTGTCCCTGATGTCCTTTTGACAGCTCTTTGGTCTTGCCCATGGTGGTGCCCAAGAAAGAGATTCTGTGGACAGGTATCTTTTATACACGTAGCAAGTTGTCGTTAGGAGCACCTTATTAAATTGGCAGGACTAATCTGTATACCACATGAGCACATAGCCAGTCTGTGGGAGCCAGAATTTATTGTTGGTTGGTAGGGGATCAAGTACCTATTTTACTTACTGAAATGCAACTCAATTTATAACATTGGTATCGTGTTTTTTTCTGGAATTTTGGTTGATATTCTGTCTCTATCATTTAAAATGCAGCTATGATAAAAATTATAGACCCCTAATTTCTTTGTAAACGTACAAAATCGTCAGGGGATCACATAATTATTTTCCCTACTGTATATTGGTGGCAGTTGCAGCCCTTAGTTACTCTTGACAGCTGTAAAACTGTCTAATCACTTTCATAAGCACCAGGACTGCCTCCCCACTTGCCATCATGTACTGTATCCCATGCTCTGGTACTGAACTGTATTAGCTGCAAGGGCGTGCAGGGTAGACCTCAGGGGTCTAATAAACCCCTGATGATGCTGGAGTGAGAGCAGTATCTCTCTAGGGCCATTTTCCACTGTTAACTGTAAACCAATGACCTGTAAGGGCCTTTACCACTTTACATAGCAAAGTATGTTTGGTATATTGTTTTGCAATTTGTATGCCATGTAAAAATGATCCTGGTGGGTGTAAAGCCACCTGATCATTTTTACAGTACCAAGAAAGTGCCACTATGGTATTATTACCTTCTATGCAATTTATTTCAAGGCCTAGTAGCTTGCATATTTTTTTGTCTTTTTTTACTTAAACACGAATATCTTTCAAACAGTCCTGTAAAAAAAAATGGAGTCTGTATAATTTAATAAAATATCAATTTTAATCAGTGTACTGGGTTTTTGCCAGGCCTTATTGACGAGAATGAGACTGCAGAACAGGCAGCACTTCGAGAACTGGAGGAAGAAACTGGATACAAAGGAGAAGTTATGGAATGCTCTCCTGGTGTGTTTGAACATTTTCCCTTTTTTTTTTCCCCTATCAATGACTTACTAATAAAGTTAAACTGTTGCTATTTTCAAAAGTCAACCCCAAAGGCGGGCATTCGAATCATATGACCGCTGTGATTGGCTCTCACAGTGGTCACATGATCAAAAAGCTCCTGATGGCAAGTATGCATCGAGAGCTTACTGATCCCCTCCGGCTACTGTGCTCGGAGCTCGCTCTCCGCATGGTAAGCTGTTTATACAGGGCCACATATATGCGTCCTCTCTGCGTTAGGGTCCATCTGCAGAGAGACCACGTATACGCGTACGGCCGGTGCAAAGTGGTTAAATGGTAAATTACACTTTTGTGGGGGAAAAAAAATAGAGATTTTAAAAAAAAAATATAGCATATATAATTGGGACACAAGCCATACTGTAATTTTATGCTATTAAAAATTACCTTTCTTTTTCAGTTTGCAGTGCTGTAATTTTCTGTAAAATGTAATGCAAAATGGCTACCTGGAGGTGTTCTATACACAACTGGTGTATAGAATGTCTCCAGAAATGTTATTTCCTGCAAGTATGATTAGCCGACTGATATATTTTTTTTTTCTCAGAAATTTACACGGAAAAAAGCAGATTTTAGGCATCCTTTTGCAGCGAAAAAAAAAAATCATTTTTGGTGAGATACTCCTAAAGGACTAATATTTTCTAAAGGGATGGAGATCTTGTAGCTTTCCTCATTAGAGCACTGCAAGTGCATCAGCTAAACAATAATGAAAAAAAATCATTCCTATTCAGAAGCAGTATCCAGAAGACATAGAAGAACAAACTGATTTTCGTTCCGAGCAGAGACTGGTTGGAATCAGCAACAAAGTATATTAAACGTTTATTACAATCCATGCAAATCACCAAGAGACGATTGATTTATTTTTTTTTTTACAACAATAGTGAAGTTACTTTCTAAACAGTGTAAATCCTTGCAGAGGAAGAACTTAATATCCACCTGTCCTGCTGCTCATGCTTCCAGTCTCCTCTTAGTACATTTCCGGGTGTATCGCATGCATGGTCCCCTGCTTCATTGGGGAAAGCAGACGGAGTCCACAGAGTGCAGCAGGGAATGTCAGCATCTGACACTCCCAGAACTGTTGAACATAAAAGATCTTTGAGCAAGATTAACTTTTCCAGTACAGGGCAGTTCAGGGGAACATGGGAAAGAACTAAAACAAGACCTCCACTAGTGTGAAAATAGAAATTATTTATATGTAATACTTTCTATTTACTTGACTAGAGAAGAAAAATATTTCTAAAAATTGTATTTACTCATGATAAAGAAAATATAATTGTGCAATCTCATCAAGGTTGGCTTGTATAGAAAAGTGACATTTGTTATATTTTCCTAGTTTGCTTTTGTTCACCAACTTTTTTTTTTTTTTTTTTTTTTTTTGTAGTGTCTTGCTTGGATCCTGGCTTGTCAAATTGTACAACCCTATGTTGTAACTGTGCACATTAACGGGGATGATTGTGTAAACAGCAAACCTAAACCCAAGCTTGGTATGTTAACTTTAATAAGGAGTTCAGTGACCAAGGGAGAAAGAGGATCTTTCCAGCGCATTAGGCTACTTTCACACTTAGAAAAAGTGCCTGAAAAGCTCAAGAAAACTGCTTCCCTATGTATGTGAATGTATATCTCTATGTATGTTTTCACACTGAGGTGTTGTGCTTGCCTACCATGTAAAAACTCCTGCTTGAGCATGTTTGGGGAGTTAAAGAAAAAAAAAAAAAAAAAAAAAGGCCCCAAAAACGCCTCTTCCCATGGAAATCAAAAAAAAAAAAAAAAAGCCTTTGAGAAGTGTTTTTGGTGCAGGTTTAAGTCATGTGTCCTTTAAAAAACACGGTAAAACGCCTATGAGTTTTTCAGGCGCATCCTGTGACAGTAGCCCATGTAAGAGCTTGTGAGCTTGGAATAAAGCCAAAAACCATAAAGTTCTTCATATAGTGCCATTTTATTAGGTACACCTGTTCAGCTGGTTGGTAACACACATTGCTAATTAGCCAATCACATGGCAGCAACTCAACGCATTTAAGCACGAAGACGTGGTGAATACGACTTGCTGATATTCAAACAGAGCATCAGAATGGGGAAGAAAGAGGATTTAAGTGCCTTTGAATGTGGCATGGTTGTTAGTGCCAGACAGGCTGATCTGAATATTTCAAAAACTGCTGATCTACTGGGATTGTCACGCACAACCATCTCAAGTTTACAGAGAATGGTCCAAAAAAGAGAAAATATCCAGTGAGAGGAAGTTGTGTGGACAAAAGCGCCTTGTTGATGTCAGAGGAGAATGGGCAAACTGGTTGCTGCAGCATCTCTAAGACTGGTGATGCATTAAAGTCTGGTCTACTACCATTTAAATTTACTAAATATGTAGTCTGTGGGCTTAGAAAAAGTGAGGAAGGCGCCTCTAAATGCAGTATTAACAATTTATTAGTAAACAATGGAAAATTTGCACTTACAAGATAAACAGTTAAAAAGTCTCATCGTGTGGTAATTAGATCCAGGTGGGACATCCAGCCGTCCAGCAGTAAGCTATGCCTATAGAAGCAGGAAGTAGAGTCCAGGATGTGCCTGTGCAGAGGTCTGAAGAAGGAGCCTATTGAGCATGCTCCGAAATGCATAACCGCCCCTTTCACCTGCTACATCTGACTCTGCTCTCCAAGCTTCATTTTTGATGCACAGGCACATCCTGGACTCTACTTCCTGATCCTATAGGCATAGCTTGCTGCTGGGACGGCTGGATGTGCCACCTGGATCTAATTACCACACGATGAGTCTTTTTAACCGTTTATCTTGTAAGTGCAAATTTTCCATTGTTTACTAATAAATTGTTAATACTGCACTTAGAGGCGCCTTCCTCTCTTTTTCTTGTTACTGCATTAGAGTCTTGTTTCCACTCTAAGAAGAGCTGCCTCAGTGTTACTGCTCCCATCCATCCATCCCTGATATCCATCTGGCACCTTTATCTTACAGCTACAGAGGTTGGGCTCCAACAAGCGCGCCCTATATAATATACATTTTCCAGTCTGTGGGCTTACCGTGGTGTGTATATATAATTGAGCAGGTCCTTGCATGGCATGGTCTTTGGTAAGTCTAAAGAATATTGTACAAATCAAATTATAATGTGGTAGATTTAATGTCAGTTCTTAGAATGTAAGTATACAGACTTTCAAAAAAAATTAACCCTTTTGCAGCTTAGTCCTGCCTCCCATTTTTCACCTGAAGTGGCTAGACCCCCTTTTCTTTTTTTTTTTTTTTTTGTGTTTGTGTCATTTTCTACAATTTTTCAATTTTAAAATCTTAGTGAAAGACGTGTCAACCCATATACACTGCTCAAAAAAAATTAAAGGAACACTTTGAAAACTCATCAGATCTCAATAGGGAGAAATATCATGCTGGATATATCTATACTGATATGGACTGGGTAATGTGTTAGAAATGTAAGGATGCCCCATCGTTTGATTTTCTGGGTGTCTTTGAATTCAGTCCTCAGTAGGTTGATAATTTTAATTTCCATCAAAGTAAAAAAAAGATGCAGAAGGCTAGTCCACCATTGCAATAACTCAAAATGGTACTCAGTAGTTTGTATGGCCCCCATGTGTCTATATGTATGCCTGACAACATCAGGGCATGCTCCTAATGAGACAACGGATGGTGTCCTAGGGTATTTCCTCCCAGATCTGGACAGGGTCATCACTGAGCTCCTGAACAGTCTGAGGTCCAACCTGGCAGCGTTGGATGGACCGAAACATGATATCCCAGAGGTGTTTTATTGGATTTTGGTCAGACGAGCTTGGGGGCCATTCAGTGGTATCAATTCCTTCATCCTCCAGGAACTGCCTGCATACTCTCGCCAAATGAGGCCGGGCATTGTCATGCACCAGGAAGAACCTAGGACCCACTGCACCAGCATAGGGTCTGACAATGGGTTCAAGGATTCATCCCGATACCTAATGGCAGTCAGGGTGCCCTTGTCTAGCCTGTAGAGGTCTGTGCGTAGTTCCATGGATATGCTTCCCCAGACCATCACTGACCCACCACCAAAACGGTCATGCTAAACGATGTTACTGGCAGCTTAATATTCTTCATGGCTTTTCCAGACCCTTTCATGTCAGTCATGTGCTCAGGGTGAACCCGCTCTCATCTGTGAAAAGCACACCAATTCTCATGTGCAATAGTAAATGCCAATTGAGCTGTATGGTGTCGGTCAGTGAGCACAGGGCCCACTAGAGGACTTTGGGTCCTCAGGCCACCCCCATGAAGTCTGTTTCTGATTGTTTGGTCAGAGACATTCACCCCAGTGGCCTGCTGGAGGTCATTTTGTACGACTCTGGCAGTTCTCATCCTGTTCCTCCTTGCACAAAGGAGCAGACACCGGTCCTGCTGATGGGTTTAGGACCTTCTACAGCCCTGTCCAGCTCTCCTAGAGTAACTACCTATCTCCTGCATGCTTTTGAGACTATGCTGAGAGACGCAGAAAACCTGGCAATGGCACGTATTCATTTGTCATCCTGGGGGAGTTGGACTGCCTTTGCAACCTCTGTAGGGTCCAGGTATCGCCTCATGCTACCAGTAGTGACACTGACCTTAGCAAAATGCAAAACTAGTGAAAAACAGTCAGAAAAGATGAGTAGGGAAAAAAATTGTCAGTGGCCTCCACCTGTAATACCATTCGCGTTTTAGTGCACCTGTTGTTAATTTCATTAACACCAAAGCAGCTGAAACTGATTAAAGGATAAGTTCATTTTTAGATAAAAATAATAAATGCACATTTTTTTGCAGGTAGAAAAATGTGCTTTTATTATTTTTGTCCAAAGGAGCCTGGAAAGCATTGCACCAGCGATTAGTAGATTGCTGATGCCATGCAGGTCTCCTGAAGACCTGTCAGAATATCTGCATGCCATACAGGAACGTACGGTCAAGCAGATATTCTGAGAGGAAGCTTCAATGAACTACCATAGTGCTGTAGAGCAACGTGGTAGTTCATTGAAAACTACAAGTCCACAGCCATTAAGGCTGTTGGGACTTGTAGTTCATTAATTCATGGAAGTCCCTGAATGAATGATGAGGCCGTGTGGGCGAAGCCCCGCACAGCTTCACTTTTCAAAACTGATAGTAGGGGGAGACTTCTCATGTATTATTATTATCTGTTAAGTTGTGGGAGTGGCTGCAGCATTGGGAACATGTTACATGTTCCACCCTAAATACGGGTGTATCATGTTTCCAAAGGTGAACTTCTCCTTTAACAACCCCCTCTGCTACTCAACAGACCAGACCCCACTATCCCAGGAGTTTAATTGACTTGATGCTATTAAAAAGTGTTCCTTTTAATTTTTTTGAGCAGGGTATATACACTATATTGCCAAAAGTATTAGGACACCTCTCCAAATCATTGGATTCAGGTGTTCCAATCACCTCTATGGCCACAGGTGAGTCTATATGTCCATTCGTGAAATTTCCTTGCTACTAAAAATTCCACAGTCAACTGTTAGTGATATTATAACAAAGTGAAAGCAACTGGGAAAAACAGCAATTCAGCCACAAAGTGGTAGGCCACGTAAAATGACAGAGCGGGGTCAGCACATGCTGAAGCGCACAGTGTGCAGAAGTTGCCAACTGTCTGCAGAATCAATAGCTAAAGACCTCCAAACTTCATGTGACCTTCAGATTAGAAACAACAGTGTGTAGAGAGCTTCGTGGAATGGGTTTCCATGGCCAAGTAGCTGCATCCAAGCTTTACATCACCAAATGCAATGCAAAGTGTCGAATTCAGTGGTGTAAAGCATGCCGTCACAAGACTGTAGAGCACTGGAGACGTGTTCTCTGAAGTGACGAACCACGTGAATATATCTTTAGTAGTACAAATATCCATGAGATGGAAAGGGAGGAGAGACCAAACCATTTCCATTTTCTGCATCTCTTTAAATGTTACATATGTGGCCCATGTGTAGTACTTGTCAACTACCTGATGACCTAGAGCAATCTGAGAATTTGGAGATTATTTTGATTTACAGTAACTCTTTAAAACAATATTAGTGAGAGAATTTGAGTATGTTGTGTTAGGCCGAGGTTGTCTATGTAAATGAAAGACTCCCACTGTATTAAGTATGCCCTGAAAAAAATAAAAGCTTTGCCTTTATTAATGTATTGTTTTATTTGTTAGCTGGTGTCCAAATTAATATTTTTTTTCTCTCTTTCTGTTTTTATATTTTATTTTATCACCCTGTTACACTTAGCTGATGGAGGTATGTGATTTTGTTTCTTTGAAGTCTGTCCACATTGTACAGAATTATCTATGCAATCTCCATACAGCATTATAATAACTTCTTATTTTGTTTACAGAATTTACAGAAACTATCTTGTTGCCGAAAATTGAGCTGCACAAGCGTATCGATGGTATTTTTTTTCCTCCTTTAAATATTAATATATTATTCTACAACATTGGTGATCCTCAAAAGGGGATGTTAATATTTGGATCTTATAGTATTCATATAAATCATTTCCAGGTGTCTGGCAATGATTCACCTTTCTTCCAGACCATCCGGGGAAGCCTGAAGCCCCGGAGAATTTGGTATCCAAATTTTTCACTGAGAAGCTGCTCATTGCAATAAGACCTCCTCATTGCTCATCATTTTAAGGAGCCTGTGACTGCCTAAATTTTTTACTGAACTGTAAAGTTAACGTTTGGCTTGCCCCTTCCTACACCTTTCTGTTGGCCACCTCTGTTTTGAAGCATGGGAAACAACATTCTGGCATTTTTAATTTGGGTTCATTAATATGATAGAATGTCTGTTTGGGTTTTGAGGGTTTCAGCACTGTGTGGAGTAAAAGTGAACCAGTGAGTGATGCCTACTACTCTAGTATAACAAAGGTGTGTGTGTGCCTTTCCTGCACACATTCTGCAAGGGCAAAACAAAATCAATTGTTCTCCGTGCACTGTTTACACCACATCAGTGGTATCACATGCAGATTTCCTATGCAGGAAACTGCAATGTGTATAAAACTTGAATCGTGCATGAAAACTGATGTCTCTGCAAGTGAAATCTGCGCGTTAGTTTTTCTGCAAGTGGACAAGGCCTTCTTCCCCAAGTTAGATACATTTCTTCTTTACTTGATAGAGAAAGAAAGTAACATGATATTGCCTGGGCATAAATTGGTTTCAGCGCAGATTAATAAAGTTTAATTGAATGGCCATTGTTTAATATAGAATTGCAGCCATTATGTTAATGCAGAATGGAAACATCTATTAGGGAATGATGACGGTTCCTGAAAGCAAGCAGCTTGCATCTAGGGGCAATTGTTGGTCCCTAACAACAAGGTAATCACTCCATGTGCAATTACATCTGAACACCTGCAGAGAGCTGCTGCCAGTCTGTCATTGCTTTGTACAGCCTAAGTGGCTGCAACTATCTGCATTCACCTGTGAATCCATCTGGAGGAATACACTGGATTCTTGCCACAGCTGTGGGTAAAATCCTGTGTGAATGAGCCATGAAACTGAAGAATTAGACTCAGCAAGGTAAACAAGGGGGAAAGCTTCCATAAAGAAGCCAACACCTCTGTAACAATTCTTGCATATGCTCAGTAATAACTAGCTTTCTTTTGAAACTGCAAGGTAAGACTGAATGAGTGCGTAATCCATGTAAATGGGGGAAAGGTTTGCTTTGGTTATGCCATGCATGATTATGTAATAGTTCCAAAAGAAACTTTCTATGTTAATGCTTTTACATTTGTCTTTATTGGTATGTTATCTAACAGCATGTTTTTAATTGTTAACAGAGCTTGTGGCAAAAGAGAAGCTGGTGGTTGATGCAAGAGTCTACACCTATGCCTTGGCTCTGGAACATGCTGTTGCTAAACCTTATGAGCTGCCATTCCTAAAGGGTTAAGGTTGCTAGTTTGTAACCTGCATACCCATACTGGGCACTTGTTTACATCTTTGGATTACACAACAGCAGCAGCCCCATCAATGTGTGTCACAAACATAGTGCTAATGCACTTTGCAGTTTTACTTCCATATGCCATCCACTATAGAACACGTATTTCTATAAACCTAAGGTTTAAAATCCAAAATACTTGGGTACACAACAAAAGCATGTGACTTTCAAATGGACTGGAACATTGTTGTAGAGATTGATTATACATTTTTCAAGCATGTGACTTTTGCATGACTAGAAAGAGGTTTGATAAATAAAATGAAACTGTATAATCTTAGCTCAGAAGTAGCAGGACACTTTTGTACACTATTTGTCCTTCACCAAATCTGTGCATTTTCTGAAATCTTTATAAAGGATTGCCTTGTCAGAGGAATTATTGATCTTTGGAGGTGAATTTGCTGTATTCAATTTTGGACCAAATATAAAAATCTGTTATCCTTTTTATTGTCTGCAGTAGATTGAAGAATAATTTTACACGTTAATAACATAAGGGTTCGACTTTTAACTGTTTTGGCCAGTTGTACAAGAAAAAAGACAGGATACTCATTTGGCTGCCATCCAAGGAAGAGAGTTTGACATCCGATGTGTTTTTTTTTTTTTTGCCCCCCCCACTAACTCTTGTCAGTGTCCTGCTATTTTAATCATTTAGAAAAGAAGATAAAAATGGTATCTGTCTTAATTAACTGTAAGATATCAGAATGGCTGGGTGTGTCGTGTGCTTAATATCAAGACATATGTAGTAATATTATCCATGTTGTCAGTTAACTTCTGTTGCATTACCCACCTATTGCTAAATGTTACATGTAATAATGTCAGCCCAAAAGAAACCAATGTAGGAAAATGTAATAAAATGATGGGACAGCTGCTGCTTATTTTAATCATCTATATACTTTGATAACATAATTTCTACCTCTTAATTCTATGAACTGTAACATAAGGTTCAAACCGGTTGTTAGTATTGGAGCTTTGCTTATGTACTGTCTAGAACAGCCTTTCTCAACCTTTTAACCCCTGAATAGCTCTTGAAATCATTTTCAGGTTCTTGCTAAAAAAAGAATTGCACCTACAACTTATGGTACATTAGTGTGATCAATAAGTTAAAGAATGTTTTACATCAATATGTTGAACAATTGTTTTCTATGTACCATTTCTTATGTTCACACCATACATGTGCAATGGTATGCAGAAAGATGCAGTTCAATAGATATGGTGTGAACAAGCCTTTTAAATAAGTAAAATTGAGTTCCTAGTGTATTTGGCACCAAGTGCATTTTTTTTTTTTATTACCAACCCCTACACAGTTTTTAGTAATTTTCTGGAAATGAAAGGAAAGGCAGACAATAAAATGTGGTGTTCTCTAACATTAGTGATCTGTGTGGAAGTGACCCCTTCTATTGGTGGTTAGTGGAAAAAGTCCTGCTTTCATTGGAGGTCCATATAGGTGGAAGATCAGTCCACCATTTTTCACTGTTCCAAGGAAACTGTGGTTGAGAAACACTGGTCTAAGCATATCCTAAAATCTAGACTCTAACATTTTTAATAGCATTTAAATGCACATGTTTTTGAATTTTTTTATATTAAACTATTTGCTGGAAAAAAAATTCTGTGTGTCTCTAATTCTTTTTAATTTGATGTAAAAATGCTTTAATATTTACAGTAATCAAAATATGTAGACATGCTTGAGCCCTGGTGCTACAAAGTGTTTAGTGTAGGTGTCTTCAAGTTGTGTTGGTCTAGAAAAACGTTATCATGCTTTGATGAAGGAACGTGTGCTTTATGGTGTGATTATGGTGTGAAGTAAAAAAAATAAATAAAAAAAATCTGCATAACACAATGGTGGACTGATGATATAGGGATGTTATCCCCAGTGCCAGATGCTGGTTGGGTCATTAAAGCACCTGCACCAGGGAGAATTGTGGTATAGTGTGCATTGGTAATATGATTTGAGATTGACAGCTCAGGTACACAGGAAGTTGATGGCAATCAGGGACTAGGAGCAATGAGTGTAGTAATAAAGTTTATTTTATATAGTGCCTTTTAAAGGTAGCTTCTCAAAGTGCTTTACAAAACAAGAGCAAGAAAAACACAGGTAAAACAAAAGAAAAAGGGGACAATTAACTGAAAGCCTTTCTACAATAACATGTTTAGAGAAGATGACTCTCTGATGTTCCTTGGAAGTGAATTCCAGAGTTTTGGGGCACAGCAGAGGAAGGCTCTGTCTCCCATTGAATGTTGAGGGGGGGGGGGGGAACAACACACAGAAGACCAGAATTTGAGAAAAGGGAGTAAGTTGATAAAAGTTCAGACAGATAATGGGGTGCCAAGCCATGAAGAGCCTTATAGGTGAGCAAGAGGATCTTAGTCTATACTAAACCAGACAGGTAGCCAGTGCAAGGACTCCAGAATAGGGGTAATATGGTCACTTGTACCAGACCTAGTGAGGACTCTGGCTGCAGAATTTTGTACATATTGTAGTCTATTAATAGTGGATTTAGGTACACCAGCGAGTAGAGCATTGCAGTAGTCAAGTCAGGACAACAAAAATGTATGGATCAGCTACAGTGTATGATAGCATAGGATGCAGTTGAACAATGTTTATCAACTGGAAAAAAGATGTTCTGACAACATTTTGCACATGTGAAGCAAAGGTTAAATTAGTATCAAATATCACTCTGAGATTTTTCAGTTTAGACTGAAGCGCAAGTACATTGCCATTTATAGATAGGCTACCAGGACTGGCCTCACATAATTTATGACAGTCTTGTCACAGTTTAATTGATAGTGTACATAGAAAAGTAGTAGTGCAATGTAGGCAATCAATTAACCCCTTGACACTGACGTCACACAAATATGCGGCCTTACAGAACTGGGCTTTTTTTTTCATGGAGCTGCATATTTGCGTACCTGTCTTTGTGGTGGGAGCGCGCCATACAGCGCTCTTCCAGCACAAAGACCAGGGTGTCACTGAGAGCCCTGGGTCCCATTGTGGCGATCGGGCCTGCCGATTCTGGGTCACATGATCGCTGTGATTGCCTGTCAGTGATCAGCCACTGTGAAGCCTGCCCCCCTTGTTTTTGTTTTTTTTTCTCTCTGAATGGAGAAGATTGATATATTATAGTAGAATATGACAAATTCAAAGAAGTGCTGCTTATCAAGGTTTTATACTGGGCTCTTCACAGGTCTATCACGTTCTGAAGTTTCTGCAGATGGGGCTTGATTTAGGTCTATGAATGAGTACTCAATAGGCTCATGTTTCAGCTTTCTCTGCCTTTACTAGCATCCATCACTTAATTATACTGTTCTTCAAACTTCAATTTGTGTGAAACATCCATAAGGGATGGTGGGTCCCATGGTATTGGACTTTTTTTTGCATCAGATGCCTTCAATCAAAGAAGCCTCCTGTGGTACCTCTTGCTGAAAACTGCTTTCCTGGTGGCAATCAACCAGAAGAGTGTTGGTTTTAGTGGCCTTGGGCATTAAAGAACCCTTTCTCATGCTAATCCTGGACTGATCAGAGCCCATATCACTTCTCCTTTCTAAGTCTCTCTTGGGGAGTACCCAGGGAGTTAGCCCATTAGATGGGAGGGCAAGCTTTTTTTTTAATACTTTTTATTGAGTTTTCAATATGTAAATACATACAGCTTGACAATAAAATAACAAAAAACAACAACAACCAGCAGCCTCCCAGGGCCGTGACGACAGTAATAACTCTAACAATATAGTACCATTCTAAACAAGTCCCAAACCAGGCTATCCCAACCTACAAGATAATGGCAGTACAGGATATCAAAGACTCTGTGGGCCACAGAAAAAGATAGATGTCTAACTTTGCCTCAGAAATAAGAAGAAGATATTGGGCTCATAAAATAGGAGAATCATCTAGCGTCATCTTTAAACCAGGGGGAGAGAAAAAAATCCATAAACTGGAGCAAGGAAGTATCTGAATGGGACTTCAGGGCACCAGAGTAAGGAACAGATTTAAATTAAAACACCCAGTATTAGGCAGTGGTGGAGGAGCTATCTAGCCAGATTTGCCACATTTTAAAAAGTTTTTTTGGGGCACCCCTGCTCCTGTAGGTGGTCTTCATCATTTTGTTAACCAACCCCTTCCAGAAGGATAAAGAGGTTCCCCGGGTTATTTCTAATATAAAATTAGGGCTTTTGCAGGTGTAAAATAATGGAAGGCTAAGCAAGGTGCGTTGGGCCCTAGTGGGAGCTAGACCTTCTACCAGGCCAAGGAGACAAACTGACACAGTCACAGGTATTGGTACAGCTGTAAGCTCAGTAATACAATGCAATAATTAATTCCAGAAATTTTGAATTACAGGACAATTCCAAAAGAGATGTCCAAAGGTTGCCGGGGAGTGTGAGCAGCGCCAGCAGTCCACAGACACCTGTGGGTAGATTTGAGCCAGTTTAGTAGAAGTATAATAAATCCAATGTAAAAGTTTGAAATGGATCAGTCTATCTTGAGAGGATACCAGATGAGAAAATGGAGAGATCCATATGTTGTCCTAGTCCTCTCCATCCAAATCTGGGACTTCTTCTGCCCATTTTACCCAGCAACAAGTCACCGAAGGAGGAAGAACCGGAAAAAGTTCTTTATAAAGTTAGGACTGTGACGGAAAGCAGCGTCCGACCCCAGCCCTTCTCACCAACTCATGACCAAAGGACCAGCCGATCCCACACCACGCTGTCACTTGCATAACAATGCCACCCTCAGCTGCGCCCTGCACAAAGATTTTCCAGCTCACAGGACTACAATCTATGTGCCAGCAGCCTGAGAGCAATTGTTACTGGGTCAGGTTAATTACGCAATTAACCCTTCACACTGCCACCACCTTTTTACAGAGGAGGAAACTCACAAATCTTAGCAGCAACACTAATATTAGTATAAGCGTCTGTAATACACACGGTCACCATAGACATATATTCAGAGGATTATTACATAC